GTGGTTCCATAATAATCCACATGAGATAATGGAAACGAAATTCCAAAAGAGATTTCCTGTGAATGTACGTTTACAGTTATGTGGTCGGGTTATAGCGCAGCCATATTACGTCATCGCTCGCCAGTCATGTGTCATGTATAGTGCTTGGAAACCCTAAGGACAATTATGACATGGCGAGCGAGTATTTCGTACTTCAATTTTATGGCTTTCCGTCACTCACAAGTTAGTTTGATGTTACGTACATTATTAACATTACAGAATCCACATATTCCTGCCAGTTTTAATATGTATTTTGTAATCAACAAGTGTGTAACACCGGTCAAAGTTTGACACTTCTCTGGCCATTATCTCCGTAACCGTTCAACTTTGGACATAGGTGTTTTGGGTTGTATCGGCATACTTTAACATAAGGAACACCCTCCCGAAGTTTGGTCCATTCCTCCTGGGACACCCTGTATATATATATTATTCCACCGTTAAAGGTTAAGAATTTGCTGCCTAGCAAGGGGAACGTGTTTACTGAGCCATTTGCCGAGAAATAATGGATGTTCACAGAGTCAACACTTAGCAGCTAGTCTGTACACCACAATATGTTCATTTTCTCATGATTCATCTCCCTTATCTAACAGCAGAAGGTAGTTTGATATTCCCTCATATCGTAGCAGCAGCAGAAGATTTTACGGGTTTCCTTGTATACCCTACTCATGACATAAGATAATTTGGGTTTTATGCCATATGCTGGCAATAGCAGAGGCTACTTATGGTTTACCCTTGAATCCTAATAATGGCAGAAGATTTCTTTTTTTAATTCGCTACTGGGGGTGGAGTCCAGCTGGGTCCACTCGGCACGGGGGCCACTGATTGGCGTGTTGTACCTACCCCAGGTGATTATGATGATGGAGAATTTGGTGGAATGAAGGTTGGCAGGGGAAACTGAAGTACTCAGCGAAAACCTGCCCAACACCACTTTGTCCACCACAAATCCCACATGACCAGACACGGGATTGAACCCAGGCCGCTGCGGTGGGAAGCCAGCGACTAACCGCTTGAGCTATATCACGGCCTAATGGCAGAAGATAGTTTTGGTTCCATGTCCTAGGTATCACAGGAGATTGTTTGGATTTTGCACAATATCCAAGCAGCAGTATAAAATAATTTGTGGTTTCCCCATTATTCTAGTAATGACAGAAGTGGATCTTGGTTGTCTCTTGTGTCCTAACAGCAGGAGGAGGTAGTTTGTGTTTTGCACCATGTAGCGGTGATCAGCAACTTTCCATTTAGGGGGAATAGTGAGATAGGTGTACTTCGGCATCTATATATGTAGATGGGTTTTCACAGTTATAAAGATGCAGATTGTGGTCTTCTGGCTTATACCATAGAAATTACTTGTATCCTGAAGATGGTGCCAGAGATTTGGGGTTTTCACAGTAGTGGGTATCAAGTTCATCTGGGATGGAACAACATATCATTTGGTACATAGGTACTGACATTTCTTATGAACTTGCTGCTTCTGTCTTCAGGATAAAAGAGTAAGCAGTGTTGAAGAAAAATGTACAGGTATGGGGAAGGGAGGACTGCACCAAGACTAGAAGGTTGGCTCCACCATAGCTCAAGCAGTTAGTTGCTGGCTTCCCACTGCAGTGGCCTGGGTTTGATCCCAGGTCTGGTCAAGTGGGATTTGTTGTGGACAAAGTGGTGTTGGGGCAGGTTTTCTCTGAGTACTTTGGTTTCCCTTGCCAATCTTCATTGCACCGATTGCTCCACAATCACCCTCACCTATCATCTGTGGCTGGTACAATAGGCCAGAAGTGGGCGTAGTACAAGGGGCGTAGTCCCACCCCACTAGCAATAAAAGAAAGACTAGAAGTTGACCAGTATGAACAGTGACCATGAAAAGGACTGTTTAAAGGCAGTAGATGGCAAGAGGAACAAAATGAAGAAGAATATGAGGAAGATCAGTAACAGAAGAAGATAAAACAAGTCACACCTGCCCTTCCACCCACCCACCTGCCTACATACCTACCTTTGTCCATTTCTCCCAATTGAGTCTGCCATAAATAATGGTTCCCTTCATGGCCACATATAGCCCTGATCTCAATCTTTTCCCTGTATCTGTACATTTGTTCCCCACATGCCTTAGTCATCTGCCCTGAAGATGGAGGTGACAGGTTCCTAGGAAATGATGGCACCTGTATACTGACTTACACCATGTTACATGTCATTGTAATCATGGAGACATTATGTTCCTTCAAACAGCGCCTTTTTATTTTCCTAATAAAACTGAAACAGCCTTCTTCTCTTTCAAACCTGATATTACAGTTTATTTCTTGTATGTGTCTATTTTCTTAGCCACTTAGCATGACTACACTCTTCCAAACTGACCTTATAAATTTGATGTTTTTAATCTTTTATGCCATTTTTAGTATTGTTCAGTCTCATGTGCTTCCATAATAAAATGGAGATATGGATTTGTTCTAGTGCCACAAGCTCTTTCGATGGGAACAGCAAATCCATTCGCTGGTGTTGCACCGTCACCACCTAACCTCTTCCAACAGCAACAACAGATTCGACCAAGCATTAATCAAATCAGGCAGCAGCCATTTGTAGGGAATGTGCAAGCTCAGGGGAGCACAGAAAGTGCATGGGGTCCTGCACCTACTCATCGTCCAGTTTTACCAAACCCTTTACTCCCATCAGCTCAACCTAATCCATTCCTCTCATAACATACAAAGGTTTAGTAGAGGCTTGTGACTCCCTTAGACAGGACTAGAGTTCTTGCTAGCAGTGAGTTTGCTTCTAAATCAACATGCCATGGGTAAACTTTTAAAAGCATGAAGCCCAGATCCATATGTTTCGGCTCTTTTCATGTGTGGCGCCTTATTCATTTACATGGAGAGAAATTGGTACATGCTATCAGCTGTGATATTAAAGCGTGTGATTTTTTTTTACCTAAGTTTGTAATACCAGTGTCTTGTAAAGTGGGTTGTGTTGGAGAAAATTGATAACTGAAAGTTTGTACAAACTTATAATTTTAGACTAATTATAGACTAAAATATGTGGGATCTTTTAGTATAAAAGTAGACCATGTTTCTAAAATTGTGTATATTCATAGATATTTATATATATATAGATTTGGCCACATTTTATTTTGAGATTTAATGACAGATCCTTGCTCCTTTCATATCTGTATACACTTTGCCTCACTGTACTTTGTATATTTCTTTACATACCTACTCTTCTTTCTTCTCAGTGGCCAACCTTTATTTTTGATGCAAGGGAATCCTATTGTTAGCCATAAACCACATTTGAACTCTTCCACCACAGTAAGAGCCCATTCTGTTGAAATGAGCCATGAGGTAGTTCAATTGTACATATATACCCTATTATTGTGACATTATATTCAACTGAATATAATGGTAATAAAACACTAGTATCATGCAGGCGGTTTGGAACATACAGTTGCTGTGTAAGTTGCTGAGCATTAATGTCTCTTGGTGCTGTATTTGAGAGTTGTGAAGTGTGTATGTGCTTGGCACCATGTGGTCAGTGATATATTGCAAAGTTTAAATTTAAATTCCTGGCAGGAACAAAGGTTTTGTTCTCCACCACATCTTGACTGGGGGCACACGGTAGTGTAGTTGGTTGAGGGGATATGCTAAAAGCTGGAAGGTCGCAGGTTCAAGTCCCAATGAGGTCTTTGGATTTTTTTCAATTGACCTAATCCTTCCAGCCGCACTATGGCCCTGGGGTTGACTCAGCCTCTAACAGAAATGAGTACCAGGAATTAATTAAATAATTTTCCTGGGGAGTAAAGCACGGCCAGTGCATAAGG